ACGTCACGAAGAGAGAAGCGCGCAACTTCGAGGAGTTTTCGAAAATGGCGCCGTTGTCATTTCCAAATGCTACTTTTAAAGTTGGTTTTCCTGGATATTGACGCTCCAAAATGGTTTTTGTCACGGTAGGATAGTGCAGTTCCAACATCTCTTTCCGAAAAGGTGAGTGAAATGTGTATTAATCCGAAAAATAACGCGTATGAGAGCTGTTAACAGTTTCGGTCAATTTCCTCGAGTGGAATAATGTGCCGCAAAAGTTTGTATGTTCGCACAGTAATATCGCATTTTCTCGAAATCGGTGAGGTGTTGAACATCGAAACTTGGCATAAGGGTGGGTTACTTCTATTGGAACACATTGTCTCTGAAGTTAATTGAGATAAACTTGCAGAAAAAATGATCAGTCCATTCGAGTGTGCCAGCGTAGCCTCTAAGCTGATGCAATGGTATTCATTACTTTGCTGTTATCTCCAATAATGCCAATAGTATCACCTATTCAAGCTGTCTTTTCGGGATAAGTAAATTTTAAAGTAGCTTCTGATAGAGGGAAAGTATAGTTGCAACAGCTCTTTCCGAGAAGGAGAGTTAATTGTATTATATTCTGCTGATAATTACCTCGTAAACAGTCTAAACAGTTTAAGCCAATTTTTTCAAGTGGAATATTTGTCGCAGAAATTTGCATGATCGCATATTAACATCGCATGTCTTAGAAAATCGGTTTGGTGTGGAAATTCGAAACTTGGCAGAAGGGTAGATCAGCAATAGTGGAAAACATTGTCCTTGATGTTTAATGGGAGAAATTAGCAGTAAAAATGATCAGTCCATTCGAGTGCGCTTAATATTGATATAAAGAGATGACCTCGACTCGGTTACCCCGGCACAATGTAAGTCAATTATTTTTCGGTTTTAAGAAAAAGTAAACCAAAGACTTCCCTCAACACTATGTATCTATAATAATTACACCAGGAATATATACATTTTTAACACTTGAAGGTTGTACCATATTGTTGAAGCAAAGGATATTTCTCTGTAATACCTATAAGCTTACATTAAGTTTTCATAAATAGCAAAAAAAATTAATAAGATTTACATACAACTCCAAACATGTACATCTGTTATGCATGAAGCAATTTCATATCGTTCCATATCAATAGTTAGTGCAAATGGAGTCAAACATGTACAGTGAAACTTGTATAATGTAAGCGGACACCGCAGAGAATGCTGTAGTGCCCACTTGATACAAAGTTTCTTCCTACTACATACAGGTTTCGATAGAAAATGTCATATGAGGCAGACCTGCCAACTCTCACAATTCTGCCGTGAGTCTCATGATTTGTTAACTTTTCTCACGGTCTGACGACAAAACTCCCAATCTCATGGTTTTCTGGGAAATATTCTCTATTGAAATATTACCTTGTTGAATAAAAACATAAATTTTGTGGGGAAATTCTTGTGCCTGGATAAGCTTTGACTATTTTAGCCATGAAGTTGTCTTAGCCCAAAGAAATGACTCTGCTGTATGTTTCGTCACAGTGATAACCTATTTTCTGGCCTCTTCAAGTCATCAAAGAAAAAGCGGCATCTAATTTGTTACATAAGGGACCACACTAAAGCAAGGTTATATTAAAATAAACAGTTGATTCCACTAATGGAAAATGGGTAGTTTAATTTTGATCGGGAAAAGATAGAATCTCACTACTTTTGGTAGAGTCTACAGATTTTCCTTATTAGGGGTTGGCAGGTCTGTATGAGGAGCTAACTACCATTCAAATAAAAGGCGGAAACATTTGGAATACTTCCAGAGATATGATGATATACATTTGCATTAATATCTTTATTTGTGTGGAGCAATTAATTAAACCTAGATTGTACCTCAAATTTTAAGATATCAAATGAGTGAAACAAGCTTTATACAAACAAAAATGAAATGAGAAAGTACTGTAACTCATTTATATAATTTACAGAAGTCCCCTGGTGACACCCGCCAAGTGCTGATAGGGCAAGACTCCAAATCTCATGGTTTTCTGGGAAAGCAAAAGGCATCTTAAAATAACAAAAGGCACATAGGGCTCAGCCGAATGGTACCATAATGACATCAACACGTATGGAAACAGGCCTTTTCTCCGAAACTCGCCCCATTCCCCTATGGCTATTTTTATTTGCGTTTACCCTACCTCACCTCCCCTCCCCATACCTGATGAAACAAGGCTTTCAACAGTTTGTTGAGATAGGATGCTTTTTGTTTTAAAGGATGAGCTCACCATATTTTATTATCGTAGAGATGGGGGTAAGCTAAGTTAACAATAATAGACAGATTATTATAGGTGGGTTACTCATTTTTACAGCTATCCCTGGAAGATGAAATGGAAGTAAGGAGCTGACTGGCAGCCACTGAGATTGAGCTGAGGAGAAAGGAAATTGAAAGAGAAGAGAAAGAGTTGAAAAGAAAAGAAGAAAGGTTAAAACAAAAAAGCAAAAGAAATTAAAAACACAGTAATAGAGGCGAAGGGGTAGCTGCCCAACTGCAACGAATGGCAGGGCAGCTAGACTGCTTGGCTAACCAAATTCTAGAAGAGACCAAAAATTAAAGAAGAAGTAAAAAAGAAAAACACCAGTGTAAGAAAATTTTATTGATAACAAACCGTTTCTTTTAATCAAAGTCAATGTGCAAAGTTTTTAAATGTAAACAAGTCTAAGTCAGACCTGTTATGCAAGAAAGAAAACACATTTGTTCAGTATATAAAAAATAAAAGGAAACTGGTTCTTCTAATTTCTTGTATCCTGTATGGTCTCTTCTTGCTCGATGGAATCCACTCCATCTAACATCCTCCACTTCCCACACTGCACGACTCTCTTCGTGGAATCTATTATACTAGATCTTTACAGACATCCAGTAAGCAGCACCTCCTCCATCATACACTGCTTGTTTTTTCTCATCATCTACAGAGTATTCCCAACTAAGGAAGCACCTAATTATAAAATCAGTCAGATAAAGAGAGATTATTTATATATACAAAAGTCAAAACAAAATAAATAAAGGCAATATTATCACTTAAAATCCCTAATTATTTGTTAAGCATCTTTTAAATCAGATGTTATAATGGTTTTCCTCACCTACTTCCTAAACTTCACATTAATATAGGTGAGTCTCCCTTGAATTATAAATTTTTGTAACTTCAAGCAACCTATCAGGATAATCCAAAGACTGATTTCTAATCTTAAACCAATAGCTAAAAGGCAAGGCTATGTGAAATATATCAGCACAGGCAGTACAACAGCAAATTTTAAAGAGGGGCTTTAGAGCTATTATAATGGACCACCTATAGTCATGGAACGATTGGGTCTTTACTAAGTTACACCTACTGAGAAATTACCAAAAATTACATCAGCTGGCAGCTGGGTGATAAAACTGTACAAGCTGGGTGATAAAACTGTACGAGCAGGCCCCGAAGAATGTTGGAACTGGACAGTGTCACTTGATGTAACTGACAATAGCATGGAGTCCAAGTAAGTTAAAAAGCATCAATGATTGAAAATTAAACTGATGCCCCTGCACTCCCACTCCCAGTAGATCCCCTGCCTTGACATTACCTAATAAACATACTTTGATACTCGTGTCATTTTCTGAACTCGTGTAGTTATTGAACTATATTATCATTCTTGAACTTTGGTGTCTTTATTGAACTACACAAAAAGGAAAACCGAAAAAAATGTATCTTTAAAGAAGTCTCTTTTTATATTGTAAAAGTGTGAGAAGGATGATGATATTCATCGCATGAAAATCCTGCAATTTTTTATATCCTTAGAAGTTTTCTCCCCCACCTCATTTTTAATATGCGGACGCCCGAGGAAACACATTTTCAATATTACACCATTGAAACGCTTACCAGTGTCCGTTTTCTTGGCTTTTTCTAGTTTTTTTTCTATTAACTCTGTAAAGAGATTAAGGCAAAGCTACATACCCATCCTTTCTGCGGATTCTCCTCCTGGACTCTCTGCATAAAGCCCTAAAAATGTTGATGTTGATCAAAAAGTTTAGCTCACGGCACTTTACCCCAGTGATAGATTCCGTTTGACTATACATGTACAGGATAAACACCATGTTTTCCTTTGTTTGTGGGGCGAAGAAGCAAAGAGAAAGGCAATGTGAACTTATCTCCATCATGAGCAATGAATGTTTCGACAAAATGATCGTAATTTATAGTGAAAAGTTGCAATACAATAAGCTATAATAATATCCTTGGTTATCGCCCGACGATTTGATTCAGTACGCTTTATTAACATTTTGATACGTTTGACTCAAACAGGAAATCCTTTCAAAACCCTTGAAGATTATAGCCCATACTCTATATAAAAAAAAAACACTTGCTTCTTACATTTGTTTAGTTTTAATGAATTGTTTACACAATTTGATAGTGTAGTATTAACATCATGACGCTATGTTTCGTGACCTGTCCACGCCACTTTCGCAATTTTTGTAAACATCCCTGAGGTTTGCGACTTTTATCCCACTGATCATTTTTGCTAACTTATTAGATGACTCACTTCTATCACTAATTGAGAGACCCATACCATATTAACGTCATTTGTTTTTCTCGAGACTAAATTCTGCTGGGCTCTTTAGTTATGCGTCTCTAAAGACGCGCCGGTATGAGTTGTACCATCTGGTCGATCTCGGGAAGTTCTTGATTTTTTACGATGGAAATGCTCTTTCCTAGAATATATTGCAATTTTACTATATAGCATTAATAGATAAACACATACCTACGGTCGTTTCATCGCAACGTCTCGACTTTTACCTCTTGAAACCACGAAACAATTTCGCTCGCTGAATCCATTCAAAGTTCCCGGGATAAATTTCTCGTGACGTCACGATGGCCAAGATCATCCGCCGCGCGATCCCTATAGGAGCGATTGACGAGTTCATCACCCCCCCCTGATAGATAACGCATATTCACCTTTAACGTATTACCGCTGACGAAAAGTACGGGCTCAGATGCAAAGGGCGCGCTTTCTTGAACCTTCTTGTGTTCCCTTCGTGTTGGAACGGTCATAAATTTTAGTAATGTTCTGCAATGGAGCGAAAGTCCTTGAGCACAAAGAACAGGAAATCTAAGGTAATGTAGTGCTTCATCGTGACAAAGTGAGACATACACGTTTGACCCTCTGTATGGGTACTGCGGTCGATGTCGATTTCCATCAAATCGTTGATTTGTCAACGAAATCGTCGCTTGCATATCAAGAATTGTTTTGCATGATAGCACTATCAGCAAGCTCGAGCAACCCCGACGACGACGACAGAAACGAAGAAATAAAAAAAAGCAAACAGGTTTAATCTGTTTTGTGAGCAAAACAAAGGTACATTACACTTCTTGACTACATTTCTTTGCTGTTATGATCAGAATGTCAATGCAATAATCGGTCGCGAATCGCTTTAATCTTCAGCGATCGTTTCGTCAATAGCGATCATCGCAACTTCGATTTCGTCGGAAGTACCCACAGAGAGGCTCTCGTTTTAATACTTAGATTGTTGTTACAAGTCAAGGTTGTTCTTTTCATAAGTTTTTAAATAAGCTTATAAAGCCTGTGTTGTATAAATTCGTCTGGGTGGGAAGAATTTTACCATTTAGGCTAGGATCTCTTTCTTTCAATCCCAAGAGTAACCTCATTATGATTAATTTTCCTGATTCCAATCCGTATTAGGCCATCCCAATTTAATGCTTCGTTTCCCATCGCCCGACCGACCCATTTTTTTGGAAAAGTAAAAAAAAAAAATTCCAGTCTCACTTGTAAAGAAGCAAGTACTTTAATTTACAAGCACACGATCTTGTCTTATTAACACCAGTTGTCTTAAATTATCATCGATACTTCGTTTTTGTAGCCTTTTTAGACATTTGATAGTCCTGTTAATATACATCTTTTACCATCTGATTATATCTTGCAGACTAAACGTGAGATTTAATATGCAACCATGTGTTCATTCTGTTTTTTTGCCCGACCGACCAACCCACCTTCTCGAAAGGGAGGGCGATGGGAAACGTAACATTTTATTGGGATGGCCTTACGATGATGCAGTTACCAATACGGTACCAACAAAATGGCTCCTTGCAATTGAAACAGAATAATAAGAATAAGCTTAACAAGTTACAAGCAAAATTAGATTTAATTTACAGACTTAAGATAGAACTACCATATCACACCAGCTTTTCCAGCCGCAGGTGTCCCAAGCTCACATTACACAGGGCTGTCAATAAGGGCTGGTAGCCGGCCAAAACCGCCATCTAGTTAGCCATCCTTAGCAGGCTACTTTCATCTCCTTCTACAATAACTGCTAACAAAAAATAATCGCCTTCGAGAAAAATTGTAAAGAATTGGTTTCCCAGTTTTGAATGACATTGAACGCATATTGAAACAGGTTTGGATCTGTGAAACGTTCAAAATGTGCAATGTCTTGGAACGCCTGGGACATTTTGACGGCATTGTTCCCAGTCTTGTGTGTATTCCCGGGCTTCTGATATTTTGCGCGGTCAAGGAGCCGCAAAATCCCGCGAAATTCACGAAGACACACAAAATACCGCGAAATGCGATAGCAATCATATCAAATACATGTCTGTACACCATAATTATTTGAAACTTATTTTGGCTATTAGGGCTGTTTACTTGCCATAAACTTGCAAATTTATCTTGCAAGTTCATCACAGAAATTAGCTGCCCAAACAACGTGCCAAAAACTACCAGGCGTAGATCATGTGGCGAAAAACTGGGCACTAGCCATGATATAAAAGCTTTGCCATTGGCTCATTTCTCAATGGTATTGTTGAAAGAGCAAATCATTATATCTGTTTAAAAAAAAACGTTGAAAGCGCTGGGTCAGATTACCACAAAACCGATCAATTTTTAGCGAAGTTTGCCAAGAAAATTCCCACAAAAACAGCCATATTTTATTGATTGTTTGTCAGCAAAGTTTACCCCAAAAATTCCCATGAAATCAGTCAATTTTTCTGCTAATTTGTCCCTAAAAATTCTGAGAAATTTGACTTTTTTCCGCGACCTATCAGAAGCCCTGGTATTTTGACGAAACAACATGGCATCCTCCTGAAAACCCCTGGAAACGCCATTTCCGAGACTCTAATTTTCAAAATGTCCCCAGTTCCTCAGCCCTCAAGAACTTGTGCCTTTTGTGCGAGTTCCAAAGCCGCCTACTATTCATTGTCAGCCTGCCTGTACTTAAAACGTTTTTGACAGCCCTGGTTACAGGGGTGGAATGTAATTTACCTTGCTTAACCCCTTGAACTCCATTATTTGTCTTGTGAATGGAGTAACAGGAGTTAGGTAATCAAGCCAAAGAGTTGCCCACATCGGTAATTTCACACCTAAGATTAATCTTCTTAATTCATTCTATTTATCAAAAGGTAAATTATGATGATATTTAGCTTTCGCAGACCTTAGTAACACAATACTGACTTACTCGTGTCACAAAATGCACATTGCATTCCACCCTCATAATGTGAGCTTGGGATACCTGTGTTCCAACCCATAAATTATAGTTTTTTTAGGTCAGCTTGTTGTGTAATCAATGGTTCCTCTACCATTGCCTTCTTGTATGTGTATCCCGGTTGTCTACATAAATGTTTTCTCATATCTGCATATTAAGAGTTTCATTCTTTACACAGGAAAAACCATTGGATGGTGCACCCAGTACAAAAAGCAGTAACACCAAAGGGATATTGAAGGATGCTGTATCAAATAAATCCAATCTTTCTGTCCATCGATCACCGCTTTCAAAAAGTGGAAGTTACCTGGGTATCCTGGAGAAATCACATGACCAAAATGAAAGCTTAGGCTTTCATTGTTCTTTTGAAACTGATGGCAGCCCTGCAGAGGATATTGACATTCCTTGCACCCAGCCAGTAACACAAGATAAAATCCTTGAAGGTATGTATATTAATTTTTTCAACTTTGTTACTCCAATATTTTTGTTGCTCATGCTCAACTCAGTTGTTACTATATTTTGATGATTCTGATTACAATTCTATACACCATTTTTTTTTCCAGTGAGTTTACAAAGACATGTTTAAGTGTAAGGACCCTATAAAAACTGGAGGGGCAGTTTTCTTAATTTATTTGTAGGTGTGCAGAAGGTTTGACTAAAGGTCCTGTGACTTGAACCCAGCCCTAGTCTTAGCATCTTCAGTTGCACCCATGCCTTCACCTGCAGATTAAACTTGAGCATAACTATACATGTAGTAGAGAGGGGGTGATCATATTACTTAAACTTCACTTCAGCTCCTCATCAATAGATGGGGGACAGTGGTTGTGGGGGAAGGTGAGACCAGTTGAGCCAGGAAGTAGAGGCCACAAGTATTTGCAATAAGAGGGGAATCGAACAGCTACAAAATAATGTAGGAAGTTCTTTTGCTTCTTTTTCCCTTTTTTTTCTATGAACGTATTCAGGGAACATGCTCATACTGTACATTGCAACCATGACAACCTTGTGGGTGGCAACCACTCTGAAAAAGTCAGTAAATAGGGAACAGTCAAACTTAGCATGCTACAGTGTACATGTACTTACATGCACCTAGGGTAAGATGGGCATGGAGCTAACATGTACATTTAAACATGGCGTTTGCAGGAAAACAGTCATCATTTTCTTATTGTCCCCCAATGAACCATAGAAACTGCACTTAGAGATTACATTGTACCATTATTGCAAAATAATTATTTTTTTTATCTGCTCTTACAGTTTTAATAATTTATTCTGAGTTTAGGCTCCTCATGTGATTTTGTGTATTTGCATTTTCCTTGTTAAATAGAATTCTTCTAGGCAAGGCCAAATGAAAAGGGTGCTCAGTTTTACTGTAGTCACATTAGAGAGAATGTATGAAAGTTGCTAAAATTAGGCCTGATCTCAGGTTGAATACAGTGTGTCAGGCAATGTGCTTTTTGATAAATTGTTATGCAGGGGTTGTGGCTTTTATCGAGGTGCGTTCTAACACTGAAAACAGATTTGAAGGAATCTCTAAACAAATGGAAATGCTTGGAGCAAAGGTAAAGATTTATAACCTATTAAAAATCATGAATGTGTCATGCAGATGTACATGTTGCAGTTATTTTTTTATTTCAGTTAATTTTATATTAATTTTCCTTTGATTTAAATTTATTAGCATTCATTACCATACCCAAAAACAACAGAAAAATAAAATCATCTGAGATAAAAAAATTAACTACAACATACATATGAAAGAAGTTTCAGCACTGTTTATGGCTTCGCTTTGCTAAAATTGTCCAGCAGCCAAGATAAAAGTTACCCTTTCTCTCTTTCTTCCTTCCAGAAACATTGTACCATGACAAAGGATTAATAGTAAATCTTTTCTCCCCTCTTGTTGTGTTTTTATGGTCGTCCAACCCAGTTTTCCTGGGAAATGCATGTACGGTCATGGGGCCATTACATGACTGTACTGTATATTTCAAGTAATGATATCTGATAGAGCTGTAATGAAGAATTTATCAAGTTATTCAATTTAAGTAATTTTATTTATCTATTTGTGAATGTAGTGTAAGCATTGTTTTCTACATGTTCACTGTACACATACACACATTAAAAATGGTTCAATCAAACCTGGTAACAGACTATTTATAATATAAAGAGATTGTGAGGTGTTGATCAGTAATTTCTTGCCTAGGTGGTGAAGAAGTTGGCTCCAGAAGTTACTCATGTGGTAGGTGTATATTACTGGCCTTACCACCTTGTACACCCATGTAAGAATTAGCCATGAAAAATCTTAATTCATTCTTGTTTAGGCTTGTTTGTTGTCATTGTTTGTTTATTTTGTTTTGAATCTCTCTTTTTTAGCTTAAACTACTTACGCTGTACTAAAGTCAGCGAGACATTTTTCTATCTGCTATTTGTACTCTAAGATAACGTTTTGAGAATTGATTCCCTTTTGGCCCAAAATAGTGGAGGCTAGTCAATATTTTGTTGAGAAGAGTGTGATTATCTGCACAAATAAGAGATTTTTCCTTTCGACATCCTTTCCCCTTTTTGTAGTAATCCTTCCTCAAAGTCTAAAATATTACTGCTAATTTTAAGCTTGTGTGTGGCATAATGATCTTCTTCCTTGCAATTTGGGCCTGAATTCTGCAGCATCATTTTGTCATTTTAGAAGAATTAAACTTCCTCAACAACTATGCATGTAGATGCAACTCATTTCTAAACATTATTTTATATTCACTGTTGATGTTTGTCCTTAATGCCTATTTTTCCCTAGACAAATTTGAGCAATTTTGAACTTCTCCTTTCCAAAAATTAAAAATAGTGATAATAACATATAATATTCCGAGCAATATTATATAAATATTTGAAGTGTTCTATTTTAAGAATTCTGTCTTTTCTTCAGGTATTCAAAGATGGAAAGAAAACAACAAGAGAGAGGGCATTAAAGAAAGGCATTCACGTGGTGTCTGTGCTGTGGGTTGAGAGCTGTCGGCAGAGTGGTAAACGTGTATCAGAAGACCTCTTTCCTGTTGTGGTTCCTGAACAAGCTATTACCCCACTCATGGTTGGTCGTCTTAAAAGAACAAAGTCCATGCAACCTAAAGCTTTTGAGGAAGATGTACAGAACAGTGCAGGTATGTTTAGCCTTGTTCTGTGAAATTTTACATTAGGTGAAAACTAGGAGCCTTCTTTAAGAGGGTACCAGTTTCCAAAGGTCACTGAATGCAAAAACAAAAATAAAGTTTGAAAATGACTTTATCTTTATTATATTACACTTAGACTAGAGTATACAGTCAATTTAAAGGTTTTAACAGCTAGTTTTAACTAATCCATTGTAAACAGAGAGAGGAGAGAGAAGAAGAAAAAGAAAGCTTCAAGCAGAAAATGCCACTCCCACAGGTATACATGTAATTAGACATTAACTGGACAAACCTAAAATGATAATAAAGGCAGAGGTCCTGTGAAATACAAGGAGTATTGCATGAAAAAAAAAGATCTTTAATTAATTTATTAATGTTATGTTTATAGTTAAGAGCTCCAGGCAAGTTCAAAATGGGTAAACGTATGACAATTGATACTCATATCATGCTATTCAGATTTCTGATGGTGAACATGAATACCTGATACTTCTGGAATCGTACAGAAGATCACTGTGTATTCTTGTCATGCACGCAATTAGGAGAGTGAAAAAATATACAAAGAGCAAGTCAAAAAAGCTTGCTAACCACTTGTGTGAATATGCTCACCTGTTCTTAGATGCATTTTCACTTTACTTTATCTAATTTTCATTTTTTATTTTATTTTTTGTTCTAAAGCTATGGTCTTTGCTGCAGAAACGCAAGATCCTCATAGCCCAGTAAGTTTAACTATTATTCCTCATTGAAATCATTATGAATGTATTGATCAAAGCTGACCTTATTTTGTAACAAAAATTTCATTTCCTTTTCTTTTTCCTTCCTTTTCAGATTGGCTTCAACCCTCCTATTACACCCCACATGATACCAGACACACCCTGTCATGACCTGGGAACATCACCTCCTTTTGATAAAGCATTCAGTTATGGCAAGTTTGTTTGTTTGTTGCATACACAGCATTTTTATGTACTTATTTGAAAAATACTGTCTTGTAGCAGACAAAAAATATTGTGTTGTTTTTTTGCAAAAATGTCCCCTGCCTCCCCCTCCCTAACCTACCCCCCCCCCCCACCCGTATTTCCTGACTGATTACTGCATGCATTGTATGTTATTGATCTTGGATTAGAAGGAGAAGAGTGTTAGTATTTAATGCTCAGAGCTTTCTTCTCCTTTCCTTGAATCGTTTGGTCTACCAATCATCACCTTTGTACCAAACCTAGCCTGTAAACAGACGTTTTATTTTTCTTTTCGTTCTTTTCAAAAACATTGGCGAGCAAAGCGAACGCGCAAGAAAGAAAAATATCACCCGTGCTCGACAAACTTTGAAGAGAAAATGGAGGGTCTGTGAACAGGCTATACCAAACCTCAATGCCATCCTTTTCTCTACTGTTAACACTGTGGCAGGTACCTGGGTGAGTCTGTTTGGGTTCACATGGCTGGGTTGCAAGGGTTGCCTGTCGTGGGAACTTGGTGTACAGTGCTGCAAATGATCCCCAAAATGGACAGCAGATGATAGACAATGGGGATCATTTGCAGTCGAGGATCATTTGCTGTACTGTACTTTGTTTACAATCTTCATGTACATGTAGGTGCTGTCTAGTCTCAGTGGGGAATAAGTGGGGAACCCATACATTCATCCACCCAGATATTTCATGCTGCACAATCAATGTAGTTGCTAAAATGAAAACAAGAATATTGGATGCAATATGTGTCACTTACAATGGTTAGTCGTTTAATTGTTTGCCTTTTTCATTCTCAAAATCTCCATGATAATTTTCTCTCATAAACAGATGTCGACAAAAGTGGTGAAAAACCTAAACCAATTAAATTCAGTGAAGAAGAGAATGAGGAATCTCCAGACAGCAGCGATAATATTCCATCAAGTATAAGTAAACTAAAAAGGAGGTTGCTCAAATGCACTCCAACAAGACCACCCAGTGTAACGCTCACCGAACCAAGGATGACACCAGTTACTCAACTACAAAAAACATGCACACCCAGAGATGTTCTTCTGACAGGTCAGGAATGACATGTTTGGTAGAGATACAGTTATGACAGCCAACAGATTGTCTGCCTTACACATGCACAGGCACATAAAAATTCAGGTCACGAAACCAGCCAGCCACTGGTGTTTTATTTTATAGAGAGGAACCCACCTAATTTGGGTGTCTGCGTGGTATACAAATAATAGGGCCTTTGTAGTTAATCATTCACGTTGTACAACACCCCCGTGCTGGATAGAAAGAGATGCACTGGGAGAAGACAAACAAAGCAAATAAATGTTTTGTATGATTTTTGTTGATTTAGTACCACATGAATTACTAACTGCAAAGGGCATATTATTGGTATTCAAGGCAGAAACCGCTAATAGGGGAGTTCCTCTCTATAAAGTAAAACAACACAGTGGCTGGTTGGTTTCACAAAAGGGCCCATTGTTTTTATTTTTCTCAACAATATTATTAGTTGAGGAGCTTTTCTGTATATTTTCGAAATTCTTTAGTGGAACTTGTCCATTAGTTCAAACCGTTAGAAGGGCAAAGAAGACAAATGAGTCAAGAGACAAGCGAGGAACTGAGGAACTGAAATACCCCTAGGCACTACGGTGAAATTTCCTTTGAAGTATTCCTTTGCCTGCTTCACCCTCAAACCAAATTGTGAAGTACAGTTACAGCATTAGTGTTCAAGTTAACGCTCTCGATATACAATTTAGTTCGTGTTGGGTTGACTATGTGATATTTAAAGAAAGGACGATTTGTACCAGTAAACAAAACAAATCGCAAAAAGTTTCTCAAAGGTGTGGTGATGTCCCTCTCTCACCCGACTTCCACTGGCGTACTACACTATAGCTTGCATGTACAATGTACAACAGCAACTTTTACTTAGTTGGCTGGTCACTTAAATAACGCCTTTGAAGTTCTTATGATCTCCAGCCTAATATTGTCTAACATCAACATTAGTCAAAGATTTCTCATTACTTTGAATCGCAGGCTCTGATCAAGGAAAGAAAAGAAAGAGGCAAGATTCCACTAAAGAATCACAAAGCGAGGATATCAAGGTAAGCGGGCCAAAGGAGAGAAAGAAAGTAAAGCTTGGGGAACAGGTTGAATGCGATCCGAAAAATGTGAAGGGAAAAAGAAGCAAGACAGCAAGCACTGGAAGAAACGCGCAGAAAAATGAATCAACGGATGGAAAAGCACACAATTTATATCAAAATTCAGGTAAGTGTTAGTTGTTTCATCAGCAAAATCAGTTCACTGTTACATGTATGTTACTCGAATTACCACTTTGAAGGGCAAGGTTCAGTAATTGTTGATAAGTAAAAAATTATGAATTTTAAGACATTACTAGTATCACATATTGTTTCACAATCGTGACATGACTTGAAGAAAAACCTTTTTCAAGCTAAGTAATGTTTTATAACACAAGATATCACAGGTTTGTGAATCCGTCCCTAGACAGGTCAGTGGCTGCAAAAGGTGTACAAGAACTCTCTGTTCCCGATTGTTTTCGACTGCTTGTATGAAAATGTTTTTCCTATCTTTGAGCCGACGTTAATTTTCTTTTAAAGGGATATGTTTAAATCCAGCGGAAAGCAGCTCAGAAAGCACTAGTGAAGGTAAAAAACAAGCTGGTATTCCAGGAAAGAAGAAAGGACAAGCAAAAGCAAAGACAAAGATCGTCGAGTGTCACACGAACGATGGAGAAGATTTAGATTCTGATTCTGGAGTCTCCATTGTGGACGGAAACGTGAAAGGCTCCATCACAAATGGCGACCAGCCCAGTCGAAAAAAGTTTTCGAAAACAAGCAAAATTGTCGACCAGACAGGAGTAACTGAAGCTGAATTGGAGGACGTTTCTGAGCGAAAACTGGTTGAGAATATGGCTAAAATAGAACCGGTTGGAACAAAAAAGGAACAGAATTTAAATAAGGGAACAAAAAAAGGCAATGGGAAAAAATTTTGCAAGCCTGAAAAACTTATCACTCAGGACAAACAGGCTATTCGGAGCAAAGTCGTCAGTGAGGAAAAACTAGTAAATGGGGGAAAACCGGTTGGTGACGAAAGTTTGCTCAGGCAGGTTAATGGTTGTGAAGAAAGAAAAGATGGTCAGGACAGAGAAAAGACAATGAACGGTAGCTTAGTGGAAGATGAAGATGTTGAAAATGATGAGACGGGCACAGAAGAGGAAGAACAGCCAGGCGAAGAAAAAGGAAACAAATCTGGGAAGAAACAGCGAAACAAGCTGGTAAAAAAAGTTAAGGTTAGAACGCAACCTTAGCTACTTACTTCAATCCACAGATGCAAGCATTCATTTCTCGGTGAAGCTTGTTTTGCACGGGGGGTTAGTTCGAAATTAGCACTCGCAATTTGCAGTCTCGCTAAAAGCTGGTTGGTTTTGGACGCTGCGTGTTATAAGACCATGCTCTAGCCAACGTTTGGCAGTAGGCATCTCTCCAGATGAAATTTGAGAAAGAAGTTAAAATTTCAAGAATTTTGTGGCTAAAAAGCTATGCATTACACACCCTTCGATAGTACGATAGAACAAATATAGGCTGCATGATAACTACTAACCTACGAGTTTTGTGCACAACTTTTTTTAATATTTTTAGCTGCACGTTTACGTCCTTTTTTGTTAAGCTTAGGTAATTACTTGTTTCTCTGGTTTAAAAAATCTTGCGAGAAAAGTTTTGCTAGTGAACTTGAAGTCCGGAAGTTGCTTGAACGCAAGTGAGCTAGATACCTACATTCACTACATCAGTGTACACTAGTCTACAGATAGGCTAGTTTTACAGGATTGGAATACAATCCAGGCCCCAGTTGATCGAAAGGTGGATAGCGCTATCCACTGAATAAATCACTATCCAACGGATACGCAATTAGTTTTCGTGTACTTATCTTCTGGATAGCGCTATCCAACTTTTGAACAACCGCGGCCAGGTAGATATAAATATCAGTTCTAATAGTTGTATTGCGGCGATGTTAGCGCGTAAAATGTGAAGCTGAATATAATTTCTTTTTTTTTTTTTTTTGTTCTTGCTTCTTTCACATTCTTGTTTATGAAACTTTTAATAATGTCAATAACATTGATTTCTCGGTCCGCAGCCAAAGCGTTCCATTGTAATGACCAGTATGCACTTTGGGTAAGTGATCGTTTGACTTCTTTTAAATCACTCAGATCTCAGTTAGTGTTGAAGTGAGGTGCTATATACTAATTCTCAACGTGTCACCTTCCTTTATTCTTTCAGCGAGCAAGATATTGTTCTGTCTGTTGTTCGTAAGCTGGGTAGCTTTTTCATAGAGGATCGAGTCTCCTCTTCCACAACTCATGTGATCGCTGGGAGTCCTCGCCGCACGTTAAATGTGCTGATGGCTATTGCGCAAGGCTGTTGGCTAGTGTCGCCTATGTGGGTAAGAAAGTACAGCTTATTTTTCAAAACTGGAGTATTAGCGATAATATCTTGCACGTTAGGCCGCGCTCCCGTTTGGCCTTGTATAGCTCAGCAGGTAGAGCAACAATGATCTCAGCTGTAGATTACGGGTTTGATTTCCCAAACTATGGTAAGGGATTTGTTTCTTCTATCCTTGTATAGGCCATTTCCACATTACTGAAGCTATACTTACGTACTTACTTACTTTACTCTTTCCCAAAGGGGCTTTTGAGTTCGGTTCTAAGTCTTTTTTCCGTGCGCTCGGCAATGATAGAGACTTAATTTTCATTTGAGTTGAAGAATATCATGTGAGGTAGACTTCGAAAAGTAAGATTTATTTGAGGGTGTCAGTGGGGTGTACCTACTCAGTAAACCGCTAAAATGCCCCTTTAAGTCAATAGATAGTAAAAGGTCGGCTTAGTTAGAATAAATGAAAATAAAAAAGTAAATTAATAAATACATAACAATAAGAGTGTACAATAATTGTTTGTCACACACAATTAAGCTACTTTTAAAATTATAATGATGTACAATTTAGACCGGCAAAACTTCAACCCGGCAAGCAGCACATGATTGTAACAGTCTTTCACTGTCAATATTAGGTCTCAGTCTGAAAACTACAACAAACCAACAAAATTCTAATACGTAGTAAGAGGTTACCAAAACAACTATGTCTGTATAAAACAATGCCATTTTTCCCAGAAAATGCTCAAACTTTGACTTCTATATACACATACGCTAAAAGCGACATCGATCTTTTTATAAGACAGTCAGTTCGTATTTTGTTATTTATACGTTTTTTTTACGATAGCAAAACTTTTCTTTTTAGGCTAGACAGTTTAAATTGACACTCGCTCATATGGGTTCAATTACTTCCTTTTCGGAATTCATAACCCGCTAACTGGTCAGGATAAGCCAGTCCGCTAGTTGAGCTCAGTTTCTGGTTTAGTTTGAGTCATTCTCTGGTATTCCTTGCAAGAATGTGTCACGATTTTTCCCTTACAGATAATGAAGTCTCTCGAAGTTGGTTATTGGGTGGACGAAGAGCCTTATGAATTATCCGACGCATTTCCCGCCGCACAGGTAAAAATTAGTGATTGTTGGCTTGCGGTCCTTGCGGACTCCATTTCCTGAGAATTCCTGGCCCATTTATGCTCGGTATCATAACTTTTGGTACTTAGACAAAGTTGTAAAGGTTATTTGTTGTGTATGCGAATATGAGGCCTCGAGGGAAAAGTTTAAGGACGAGTTACGTAATTGTTTCGGGATAAAAAACAATTCGGACGATAGTTTAGCAGATTTCGGACAACCGTTGTCGGAATTTTGTACAAACGCAAAAAAGAATTTGGTTAACATTCGTCATATTCACCCATCGTAACCTCACTCTCGGTCAATTACGCATGTGCATGTGGCTAGTACATGTGGAAAATACCGGTACTTATCGACTGAAGGTAGGTTATGAGCCCGCGAAAATCGGCACGCTCCAACCACCACCTCCACCAACCCATGCTTTTACTGAAACTACTGTTCACTAACTTGGTGTAAGTCGATGTGATATTGTCTTCCTGTTCATATTTGTGTTGTAGTTGTGTCGCCTCGAACGAGTCAGCGCTGGATCAAGTTACCGGCAGGAACTTTTTGCTGAATGTCCACCAATATTTTTGTCTGAGAATTGTTCTCCCCCAAGCGATTCCCTGATTAATCTTATCAACCTCTGTGGTGGAAAGGTAATGAACATCAAGAACCAAATGTCTTTGTTTTTGTTATTAAACAATGTCAAACTTGGAGGAGACTTTGAACTGCATGAGGCGCACTAAACCACTCCTGCGGTAATAGGATTCTCCTCCGAAAATTGATTTGTGGGGGGAACCTATGTCGCCTTCTTGTAGGTGGAAGTCTCTGAAAATCACAAAAAGTTCGGAAGAGTTCGGCAAGCAAATTCTGTCAAGTTCAGAACTTATTCGTGTGTACGACCTGATTTAATAGGAGTAGTTTCCAATTAGCAGATAGACTGATAGCGGCTGCCAGTGTCGCCCTTGTATCCTGATGTCCGAGCTTACTGATAACATGTTAAGATATACTGTTAAGAGGGCGCCTCTGTTGTCCTCTGATACAAGACTCCTTCCACTAAGTGCAATGACTGCGAGCGCTTTGTCAAGACGACAAATTCTGATCTGTCTCCACGAGCCAAAAAAACTACTTAACAAAATCTCGCTTATTAGTCTACATGCTAAAAAAACTCGTCAACGATACTTGTTCGTTGACAGCACAACTTAAATTTAAGACTAAGTCATAGCCTGTTCCAGGCTCTAGGCTAGTCACAACGAGCGAAAAGAAAAGCGAGGGTGAAAAATGAAGGAGAGGAAAAGAGGGCGCTCTGTCTCTTCTCTGTTCTCGCCCGTTTAATTTTTTCGCGCTCGTTCTTTGCCCGTCTCGGTTTACTTAGAACCTGTGGGGCTAAATAAGGAAGTAACTGTTATCCTTTATTTATATCTAAGGTGAGCACATCAGTCAGAAAGGCAGGCATTTGTATTGGTTCAATGACAAGAAGAACACAAGCGGTCAACATTACAGAGCAATGGCTGCTCGGTGAGTTTTGTTCATAGTTTCAGGCTTGGTCATGTCTTTGTAAAGGTATCAGGTGAACTCGTTCTATGTCCTCAAACGCGGTCGTCGACTTATGCGCACTGAGGCTATTGGTTTGTTGCTGCTGGGTTGGTGGGTAGTTGAAAAAAAGGCCTACGGTATTATTGAGTGACTTTAAGTCAAAATTGTCACAATAAAACAATTCAAAAGCTGGCGTTTTGAACCTGGCCCTCGTCAGCTGAGCGACAGTGGCGCCAGCATTTCGGGATTTTTCAGCTGTTGAATCTCATGACTTTGGTAAATGCACTTTGATGTAAAATTATCCCTCCAGTTGTAATAACCCACCCGCGTTGGATGCCTAAAGACTTATATTTAATTAATTTAATCCATTTTCACTGCATACAAGTCATTATAATCAGACACGAAGAGAGCATCGGGGAAGGACTCGTAGGGAAAAGAAAACTGAACCATACGAGTTAGTCCACATAATACCTTACGTTTAAAAAAAAAGAAAAAAAAATTCTCAGGAAAACTAACACATACAACACTTTATGTTGTCAGTTTCTTAATCTGCGCACACAGCAGCAGAAACACTGGTATATTGTGCGGGTTTTGCGCCCTTAACGCTCTTCAAAATGAATCGCAGCGGCGGTCTGACAACAAAGCGAAAAAACCCTTCCGTCCGCTACATCTCCCTCGTTTAGCCATTTCCTGTTCAAACCTTCGCTAGCGTACTGTTTACGTTGCAAAACTGGAAATCTACTCTTAAAAAAGTTTTATTCTTTGAACTCCGAATTTTGTAGCGTTATTTAAAAAAAATAACGATTCTCTTTCTCTCAGTGAAAAGTTTTGTAAATCTGCGCTTACCTTTTCCTTGTAGATTGCATTACCGAGCACACAGTACTACCTTACGCTAACTACGCACTCAATTCACCAGCAAAACGGCAGCGAGAAACAAGTCCGAGCTACTAGAGACAACATGATTTGTATCAAAGAACATAAAGATTTGCTCGGTTTTGAGACTTAAGACAAATCACCAGCAGGACGAGAAACAATGTTTCTTCATGCTTCCTACCTTTTGGGTGTAGGATAAGCGAGTGGGCGTGACTGAACGCTGTTACTCGGTGACTTCTCAAGAATATAGCGTAATATAATTAACTACTGGATAAGTTTTAACTACAAAATACGGTCAGTAGAGTCAATCGGCACTTTTCACGCGTCTTTGATCAACGAGATTGCGCTAATACGGCCTCTACGAAAAGTACGAAACTGAACGCCTGTTGCTAGACTCAGTTTACAAATATACCGTATTAGTACAAACTAAATCACTGGATGGGGCTACCTGCACAAACCAGCAGTCAAGGAACTAAATGAACCTTTTACACGCGTCTTTTATGAACTGGACTACCCTGTTAGGTAGCGTTTGAGACCCAGGAATAAACCTCTTTAGTGTAAACCAAACTATTGCATTAGTGTTTTGCGCCTGCTCTGCCGGTCTGGCTACTCTGGATTAGAATTGGGTGGTTACCTCATGGCAATGTCCGCAATTTAGCGCGCCTGACCTTAATTACCTATTGGGACGAGATGCCCACTCTAGCAGTATTTACGTGCAGTGTATACAAAAACGTGAGTAAGACTAGTTAAAGGTGAATACCGTAAAGCTGTAAGCGGCAGTAATCGTAACTGTAATCGTGAAGTTACATTATACCAGATCAGTCACTCACATCCGTTGGAAAATGACCACTTCCCAGGGTATTCACCCCCCTCTCCTCCAGCTGGTGAATGCCCCATACACTAACTTTGCAACAATGCGAAATGCATTAGCTGGTATGACATAAGCTTAAATCATGACAAAATATATTCTATAGTCTATATAAGCTCTTAAATGTAACAAAAGTATTTGAATTTTTTACGTTCTGAATCTTTGGGTAAAGGAAAGAGAGCTTGGCATAATAAATACCTGCATTTTCTTAGTTATGTTAAGGAAAATGAAGCAACAACAAGTTTACAGCAGTTGTCTGCGAGTCGATAGCAAATGACTACAGCTAATCATAGACCCGACTGGGCGTTATCGAAAGATTTTGTAAACGTTCGACTTTCAAAATCCAATATAAATTTTCATACCGTGGCAAACATCAGGATTTATGACTAAGAGCTAAGTAGAATTACAAGATTTGTATCTGCGATGTCATAATGATTTTATGAGATTTATAGTAGATCCATCTTTTCCGTAATCTTTAAAGGAAAAGTGCATGGCAAGTTTTATATATTAATAAATGCTTATCAGACTAAAGGTCTCCTTTCGTAGACGAACAATAATTCATCTTAGTGTAACTCGTAATACAAGCGCTTAGATAGCTTAGTTTACCCAGTCCTTTGCCTAAGTATAGTTCGGGAGCACCCTACACACTGCTAGGATTACTGTGAAGACTGCTTTTGTGTAACCTTAACCCCCCCCCCCCTTCCAATCTGTTTTCTTCGCGGGAGGGGGGAGGGTACGGCTAGACGTAGGCAATGTCGTGAGGGTACTGTATAGCCTCGAAATTTCTCTAACCGGCTCCTCCTGCGCAGTCTAGATACCGTATAGTGATAAAGAAAGAAGATGACTCTTTGAGCTCGGTAAATAAACGTGAAAGATGTGGTAATAAGTATATCACAAGCATATGGGACAGCAAAAACAACAACAAAAAAAACAAAACAAATATAAACCTAGTATATGTCCCTGCTCTCCATGAGTCTCTCTGTAGCTCAGTGCCGGGATTTAGTTGTTTGAGTGCCTGCCCTGTGTTTGGGAGGTCACAGATTTCAATCCTACTATGTTCCTTGTCTTATGCTCTCGTCATACTGATTATCACATCTTTCAATCATCTTCCGATCGTTTTCGGACGACACAGTCTCGGGAAAATATTTGGGATGTCTTGAGGTTAGTCCTAAATAATTTCGGATAGTTCCGGGGGTGTTCGTGTATTTTCGTTTTAGCGGAAATTTATAAAAGTGAGAAAACAGCCGACATTTCGTAACGGCACCAACGATTTCCCCGCTAAATGACGCGTGAGGAACGAGCGCAGAAATTCCATACTGTTGACGCGTCACTACCCACACCTGGGGAGCCCTTTTGATCTGATTAATTGAAAATTTGCTTCAACCAACAACAGTGATACAGAAGCAGTATCAGCAGTCATATCCGGGTAGTTCACTTATCAGTACGGAATTTCTGCGGTTTTTTCTCGAGAAATCAGACGACCGGTCGAAAATTCGTAGCCTAAGGGTTTAAGAAGGGTTACCAAATTTGCCCCTAAAATGGGCAGATTTATTGGCCAATGAATCAGCTCCTCACGCCTTAATTGTATCTTTTCTTTCCATCTTCCTTGATCCCAATTTGCGGAGTCCAGGTTGTCCTGTTCAATTTTCCCATGTCTCCGATGGTAATCGAGTGTCTGCTGTGGAGGCGTGAACGCGAGAACAGGCCAAGCAGCTGCTAAATTCTTATCCAAAACGTAAATTGCCATCGTGATATATCTACACAAACCGGTCAATGGACTCAGAGATTGACACCTTATACGCGTCTTTGATGAGGAGGATCGTTCTTTTTAAGCGCGAAAAGCCTCATTGACTACTCTGATGAACCTTTTTTTCGGCAAAAGTTGTTTATTCTTAACCTTTTGGCAGTTCGTTCGCGAACAATCTGCGATTAGGTGAAAGTGGACGTGTGTAATCCATCTCAGGCGAAAGTCACGACATGCAGGACATGTTTGTCTGAAAAAAAAAATACGGACTTTCCTTAGATGTAGTACAGTCAGAACTTAATAATTTACATAAGTTTTAAATCAACTTTAGAGTTAATAACTTTTATTCTGTAGATGAAATACAGTCAAGTCTCACCAGTAATATGAAAGCTGTCAGTGTTTACACGATCTTCAGCATGGAAATTATGTAGTTATTTCAGACAGTTTTTTAAAAATTGCTGCTCACGCGCAAAGGCAATGAACAAGACAACTCCAAAATAAAAACTTGAAGGATAGTAAACCGCTTTCCGTTTCTGAAAGGAATTCGAGACATCTGATAGGTCCCATTTAGTTGGGGGAGGACGGGGGGTGATGGGGGTGGGAGCCAGGAAGAATTGGGGTGGGAGGGGTAAAGGAGGTGAGTAAGGAATGAGCGGGAGGTGGGAGTTCTGACAGTTCTAAAGGGGATGAAAGCGGGAGAAATAGGGGGAAATTACCTAACAATGCTTTAATATTAGCAGAGGAACGTTTCGAAAAGTCCCTCAAAGGCGATGAGCGAGGAGAAACGTCTGCCGTTCGCAGGCTACTTTAATATTTCCTAATAGAAGAAGGCAGGAGCTCAGAATGCAGGGTATGGGAGGCGGGAACTTTGAACCCCCCCGTCCTCCCTTCAGTCACTACGTTTCTGCGTTTTTTTTTTTTAACTGCGGATTAATCCTTAAAGAGGTGATCAGACACAAAGTTTCAGAAAAAGATTTGTAACTTTGCGTGTGGCGATTTCGGTAGTAATAACTCGTCCCAATTATTCTTCCCTAATAGATCTTCAAAGACGGTTCAGTTAAGTCCTTAAGTGTTGCTTTTAAAATAACGTTAATGTTGATGCGCTTTTAAAAGACTAGGAACCGGGTTTTGTTAACAATTACTGCTCCTCCGTTTGAGCAGTAGTTTATCATCTGCCAGGGAAAAACATTATGTTTGAAACTTAACGTAGAAAGCTATCTTCTGGACGGTCGTTTGTTCATTAAGGTTGAACTGTTGGCTCTGGATGAAATCCTTGAACTTACACTTCAATCGGCTCCTGCCATCGCGAACTCTTTGGGCAGTGCTTTTCAGTGGATATCAGTGTTCTTCAAGATGACTAAGGGGGCACTGCCACCGAAAAAAGATATTAGCAGTTGATTCGACGTTTAGACTTTTTTTTATCACTGTTTGAACTTGGCCTCTGCTACTTACAGGTAAAACCAACACCCTTACTCAGAAGCCAGCTGAAATACAAGTGTGCATATAGCACATGTTTTATGTCTATTACCGCAATTATTCTTGAATACGTGCGTCTGAAAACAGAACAGACATAATGTGCGTGAATTAAAATGTAAGTCTTTCAAGTAAGATTAAGAAAATCTGCTCCCGCGACAAAGACGGGTTGAGTTGATTTCCTTGTCGGAATGTTTTCATTTTGAACCAAACCAGTGCACTTGTAGCAGGAAATGTTTATGCCATCTGCAAGTCATTTGCTTCTCTCTCTTTCGAAAACAGGCGAATGGCTGTTTTCCTTTTTTTTGTTCAGCAGTCTAGCTTTAAGAATTTACGTCGGTTTGTCTGTCAAAGTGAACATTCAAATATGAAAAAAAAGACAACACATGTGGAGAAAAGGTGAAAGTGATAGTGCAGAGTTTTTGACCAAAACTAAAACAGATGTTTGTTAGAAAGAGAATTTGCGGTCTTAAAAAGCTTTTAGGCGCAAAACACGATAACCCTATTCTATCACTTAAAAATTATAGGTACACTCCACCATTCGGTCTTAGAAAAAAAGCTAATGAAAAGTGGTGAACGTGATTTCTAAAAGTCCGTGAAAAACCTTATTTAGTTTCACTCTCGGATATGAAATCGTAACTGTGTGAGAGAAATTACCGTTTATTGGCTTAAGACTTAATGCTATCGGCTATACATGGAACATTAAGATGAACTGAAGACATGACTAAGAATTACTAACCAAGTGGAAAAAGAAACTTGTTTCTAATTAAAACCTTTAAGTTAGTGGAAATGTCAAACCTCAAGTTTGGCTTTAATTTGGCAATTACAAAAAAGACATTTAACGAGGGGATTAAAATAAATGAATTATTTCAATATCCTCAGTGAATGCGCGGCAATCACGTCCCAAATTCTACCACATAATATCGATTTGCCATTTTGCCTCCGGTAAAACACGATTCCGGGTTTCCTGGGCAATGAGTTAGGTTCTCCTACAATACTCGTCACAAATCGTTGAAACAGGAGCCATTTGTCTTGAATTTTCTTCAAATTTCTTACATTCACTCCTGACACCTTCGTTCTCACTTACATTTGCCCCTCTCCTTCCGCAATGTTGAGCCAGGCGTATTTTGAAGCAGTGAGACGACTGTAATACCCAAATCAACATTGGGGAAGGGGAAAATCACACAAGTGTTTCAAGATTTGTGACGAGTATTGTAGGTCCCCGGGTGGATACACCCTTATTTCGCCTAAACGGGTATTTGCCTCTTAAAAGGGTATGTTTTCTGTGTCTAAAAGAGGGTATTTCATTCCACGCAGTTTCGCGTCTTCAACAGGATGTGAAGAGTTGGTTGGTGATGAGCGGTCTACATTTGAGGTTCCAACAGTATTTTTCTCTGAAAATCTAATTCCATAAAATTAGTTTAACTCACTGGACGAAATGAAGTTCTTTTGTCTTAAACAAGTTAAACAAAATGAACGCTTTTTGTCTTAAACGGGGTCAGGTTTTGAAGACCCCAGCGGCACACCCCTACCCAAACTTCCCTTAACTTTTTCCTTTGTTTCGCTGTCTCGTCATGATGAACACTTCATGTTAATCGCACATAGGATGCTTGATTTTAGGCGTCTGGACGACTCGTGTCGCATATCAATGTAGCATATGGACAATCTCAAAGCTCGCCACGAGTCCTTCCGTAGCTAAGTGCTTGAGGAAGGTCATGGCTCCAGGTCTTGTTGTGGACTCAAATCTGTTCTCTTTCCACTTTAGTCCGTGAAATATTTCCCTTAATAACTGGACAAATGGGAGTTACAACCTTTTTAAAAATAATAGCAATTGGATTGCCGGTAATTTAATTAAAGTTAAGAACTATCGTACACGAGGGTCCTTGTCCTGCAGTCGACTCTCCGCAAGAGCCTGTTTTTTGGGACGAACTTGTCTCTGATTGGCTGTCGCAGCGCGGTTGTTTTGATTGCTCTCAGCTGTGTGCCAGACCTCACTCGACAGTCCTGTCATTGGTTTAAATTTGTCACCAAGTTTACACAGCTGCAAGTTGCCAACCCGCTCAGTAAATACGCCGGACAAAACGCAGCAGCTTCAATTCCGCTCAGGTAAATACCTTCAGTGTTCTGTTCAGGCGTAACTTCGCTGTCTTCAGTGAGGGGGTTTTATCGAACGTTCCAACACGCTCAGCTTAAGCATGAAACCACAGGCTTCGAGATCGCGCACCAACTTGAATGCAGACCCCTTACGCTCGGTTATGAGTACATCATCAAGCATTTCAAGAGATCACGAGCGCGGATCGAGATCGTCGCTCCTCGAGCAGGGGTGCATCTACAACATGAGCGATTGTTACGAGAGGCTCAGAACTATGTTACCTCAAGGATCAGACAACAGACGCATGAGTAAAGTAGAGATTTTACAACATGTCATCGACTACATCCAAGATCTTGAATCAGCGCTGGAGCTGCCCCATTCACAGACTGCAGAAAACTTTGTAAGTCAGGAATCACCTGACGAGAGAACAACGAGGATTCCGCTCAAAACCATCTCTTATAACCGCTAATAATAAGGTATGGTGGTCTTGTAGATCTTGATAAGGCAACAATGTTGTCACTTTAACGCGTAAAAACCCGTTTTAATGAGCAATATTGTAATACTTTGCGTAAACATGATTTCTGCTCACGAAAGCCAATTTCATTTACAAGGGAAGAGAAAACGCTGTACGATATGCTCTAACTTAGACCGGGACGGAAAGAGTAGGCATGAGTAAGCATAAATTCACTGTTTTCAGTATTATAGCCACATCCAAAGTTGTGACCAGAGTCATGGATAAATTTATTGCCCGGTGTCTGTATATTCCTTGAACATATGAACAGTTCAGTGGCAAAGTAGGCATTTCCCGCCCCCTCATTCGAGACAGTGTGAAGGAATGTTTGGACATCGCTTCAGTTATGGACAAAAGAATTAGACATCTGTGGAAAGCGATTTGCTGTCTCGACAAGTATCAGAAAAAACTAAAAGACATTTTCCAGCAGTCATTTGCCAATAAAACAGACGGCTTGAGAAGCGTGAAGGAAATCTGTTTCCTAGAAGTAGAATGGTAGGCACGGTATGTTTTGCTTTTTTGTGCATGGAGGGCCTCTGCATGCGATTTTGTAATTATACATAAATGGAGGCACGAAAAGTTTATTTTCGTTCATAATTTAAGAAACGTCTGGCTTTCACTTCTTGTAATCGAAGTATTTTGTTTCAGAAATCCTGCCTTAATACTCTTGGATCGGAGACTGCAAGTAAAAACCGCAAAATCGTTAATCTTAGATTAGCGTGTGCTCATGAAAACTAAATTCGTGAAAATCGCTGAAAACACAATCTGGAACGTTTTATAGAGTCTTAATTCACTTTTCTAACTCCTTGCAGAAGATAGGCTGTAAACATGAAACGGATTTAATGTGTTTTTTAATTTACGAAAGGAATCTGTCTCCATATGGTTTTCAAGTGGACATCCACTTCTCGTTAATGTCATGCTGGATCTAACATTGCACAGATTTGAAGGAAGTCTGCATAAGTAATAATATTGAACAGACTTCAAACCTCAGCGCACAACCTTTAGCTAAATTTTCGACTTTTGGCTAGGTCCCGCCTACCGACTTAGTTTCTCAGTAAAGTTTATCTACTGTATATTATGTAATTGTTTTTGCAGGGAAGCTAAGAAGATGTAAAGATTACAAGGCTTTGAGCAATATGTGAAAACGCCGGCAAGTTAGCTCCGAGTAGGATCGGATGCAGGGGATCTTGTTTGCACAGCAAGTCCTTCTTTTTCGACTCTACTCGATAGTTCAAAAGCTTCAAATCTCGATATCTTAAATTTTTATCTCCACATCTAACAGAGTTACTGTAATTAAAGTAATACGCGGGCTAATGGTTCAGTACATGTACTTTTTTACGTAGGACTAATGATATTTTAGACTCGAGAATTTTATTTTTCAGAAGCTTGTTTTGAAAACTTGAAGCTGTCAGCTATTTTAACTTGCAAATGATGTGTTGTTTTTATGTGTGATTGATTTGATTTCTGTCAAGTTGTTCAAACAAATGTAAACCCCACTTCTCAAAATCCTATTTTTAACGCTAAAAACCAAGTTATGGAATGTGTAGACTAAACTTATTACTTAAGTATTTTAAACCTTTGCGAATTTGTAAGATACCCTTACAAGTAAAATCTGCTGCTTTTAAAACAAGCCTGTTTCGTGCTCTGATCGCAAACATTCGGAAAAACGATTTCCTCCCTTTTAAAAGCCTCATGTTTTGTAACGAAACAAGGGCACGCGACAGATGGAATTCCGTTTTAAACCTTGCTATCGTATCAAACCGGCCAAAAACCCGATCGTAGAATGAGCCGATTTATTAAATAATTACAGGCTGGTACGTCTTTTGAAAGCGCTGGTATAGTTCTACGTGTTAGCGGTCTCCAATCGCGGTTGATGTTTTTTAAAACTCTGTCGGCACGCCTTCTTAATCGATTTTTAATTTCCCGTAACAACCTCGCGTTAAATTCATTCGTAAGCAGTGACTTTCATTACCAAATCCTTCCCGGTTATTGCGAATGTCTCTCATATTAAAATCTCTGTTTGATTAAAAGCAGCTGAGCAAAAAAAGGGGACATTCCAATGGGATCAAAACTCTGTTGTGATTTACAAATTCTGACTGTGATGAACAACATCAGTGTAGGTTATCTCTCAACACTATTGTCAAGACATTCCGATGAAAATCTCTTTTATCGAAGGGAAATAAGGGTTATGTTTGTTGGAAGGAAGAAACGCTAGCAACTCATTTAAGAATTGAGATATTCTTCCGATCGTACTTTTGCCTGACAGAGTGCAGTTTTCTTTCATTCGAGAGACCTCCGGGTTTTTCGAATTCACACGTTGCCTCTGTTGTTGAGTACTTTGTGAGCTGTTCCTGATCAAATATGCGATAGCGTGTGTCTGAAGGACCCCACATGCACATGTTTAGCAGTTTGCTGTCTGAATAAGATAAAGCTTGCTACTACGGTCAGTTCAGCCAGCTGAAACACTGTTGGTGTGGGGAAAGGTCGAATAAACACGAATATTTTGTCTTGCCTAACAAATTTCTCTTTCCCAAATTATGTATATACTGGTATACATCGGAAGTTCCCCAGCTTGACGAGTCGAGCAATACCCCCAATTAAGGTTTTCAAATGTCCGGTTTCAAATACTGCACTGTTCAATTTGCGTGATGAGGAAAATTCCCTTCTGCAACAGACCTAAGTGTCAGGAAAATAACCAAACAGAAAATACTTATCGAACTGTCTGACTTTGATTGTAAACAGATGGCAAACTTGCCTTAAAAAAATCGTAAGCTTTCCTGCATGTATTTGTTGAAGATACTTTTCTTCCTTTTCCGGAGACTCCCAAATAAAAAGGATAAAGTTACTTGGTGAATGCTCATAAATTTGCTGTGTGTGCATGTAGAGTATCCAAACCAATTAAGACATAACGGAACTTAGGAAGGTCAGAACGAAAAATCTGTAGATGAAAACTAAAAGCCGCCGTTCAATAGAACTTTCGTTTCGATTCTTCTATACTTAACAAACTGAAACGTTAAGCTAAGCGTGAAAAAAATCATTTTTTTGATGGTCGCAAGCTGTCGCACTTTAGAGCTCAAAAACTAAAAAAAACACAAAAATGGTCTACAATGTTGAATTAAATTAAAACCATTCACTTTGTACGGTACGAAAATCGCATATTTAAGGAGGTCTGCTTGTTTATCGATCATTTTTTTTCTGCGAACTGCTGGTTAATACAGTTTAGCGGGGGAATGAATTCATTTGCCCGAGACAGAGCAGAGAAAGATGCGAGATACTTAATCTTTGTGAGGCTTGCCTAAAATGAGAGGAAACTTGAATGAAGCACATAAAAAACGCAGTTTTTTGCCCTTAACGGTGAAAAGAGGTCAAGAATATCTTGAAAAAAGCTGTGACGTCAAATAACAACAGAATATATTCTTCAGACATTTCACCCTGTGAGAAGCTATTAGAAACACGGTATTGACGATTTGATGACCACACAACATGCAAAAACTAGTTATTTTGTTGTTAAGACAACTGTTGGTACAACAGCTAAACACACAGCTCGCTGAATGTTTTCTTTGCTCCGATGATGAAGTTAACCTGCTTATGCAAAAAGAGGCCAAGTTCAATCGTAAAAAGAAAATATCCAGACCGCAATGTTTTCTTTTCACGTTCTTTAATTTACTTTTATCGAAAGAGCAATAGCACAAACAAAATAACCTGACGAAAAACGTTGTTGCTCATGTTGTATAGTTTAGAGAAGATCTCACCTTTTTGTTGAATTTTGGGGGCTTAGTACTGAATACCACTTACATGATGAACATTGCATTGACAAGTTTTGATTGAAACTGTACTATAAAAGCTAGGGATTACTACACATGTTGCTAGTTGCTAAGTACAAAAAACAGATATCTGTACAGTACAAACCAATCGATCATCGACCTCTCTTTTATTCTGCGGGAGATGCCAGTGTGAGAGATATGGGAGGTCAAATGCTAATAGCGCCCTCAAGGGTTTGCCTGCACGCGCGCGGCGTAGTCTGAAATGGCACAAAGCAGATGACCATTCAAGGTAGGAAAGAAGCCTCATTCCCTAATTCATTCTCTACCCGCCAGCCGCCACCCGCCACCCGCCACCCCCTGCCCCCGCCTTCCCTCGCCAAAAGAGGGAGTACCCTGTCCCTGTGAACTAGAAACCTTTCTTACGACAACGCCGCCGGGTAGTGATGACCATGCAACGAAATCCGGTGTTCTGATTAACTATCCGAGCTCTGGATTTCCCGCGTTAATTCCGCAGAGATAGTTCTCTTCTTGGCCCTATAATAATTCCTTTATTGACCAATGTTGTTTTTTTAAGACCCGAGCGGGGAGGGAGGGGGGGCGGGGGGGTGCTGGATTCTATACGTGCATGCTTCGTCTCAATCCATAAAAACGCAAAAAAGAACTCGGCTAATATCCAGCCATCTTGGCCTCGCTTGGTTAATAATGCATATTTCTTATCTTAATACCTGGTAAATGATTGGTAAATGTAGATAGAGCCAATGGCAGTCGTTCGAAAAGTTAAGGTGATCTCAAACGCGCGAGAACGCTCGTCCATACGACAATGATGCGACTATATTTTCATGGCTTTTTGCCCAGGTGGTCGCTATAAAAGCGGCCTCACTGTATCAACATGGAACATATGTACGTAAGGGTCTCTAAGGAGCTTTAAAGTTTATCGCTGTCGACCCTGGAGCCTGTTTCTCGATGGGCCCGGTAACGTTTCGGGTCCGAAGGTAAATTTTGAAATCAAAACTCGTTGAATAGTAGCACAGTTCCTAGCTCACAAACCGGTCAGTTTTGCTTCTTTAACTGATACTTTCATTCTATCATTTTCAAAATTATTGAAACTTTGATATTGAAGGCAAACACTGCAAACATAAAACAGCTTTTCGGGACTTCCGAGAAACGGGTCCCTGGAAACCAAAGCATTTTTAGATGCCAATTTTGGTTGCCATTTGGTGGCTCTGGAGATCGAAGATTGCCGATCAGCCAACTAAACCCACCACCGGCGCAAAAGGCAGTCCCGTCTTTGCTGTGAACCGAGTCTATAAATCAGAAAAAAAAGTGAAAAAGCTCACAACCAGTCATGGCCTCCTTCACATACAAACAGAATTTTAATTCTTAAGATCAGTGTACATTGTTTCACACTTAATAACATACGAAAGCTAATTCTCAGTCCACTTCGTTATGAAGCCTGTTTACATTTCTGGCTTTTTCAAGTTCAACAGAATCCGCAAGATATCCTCTGTTTTTTGGGTTGGTATAATAATCCATTAGCTTGTTCGGTGGGCGTGCTCGTCTTGGAATTGGCCGCCCTTCAAATTTCTCCGGCTTAAGCAAAACACGTAGTCCCAGTCGGTTATAATGTGCGCAAGTGATTTTTCCTCCTTGTTTTTCAATAACTTCTATTGCAGTTTTTGAAGCTTGGCTAACTTCTATATCAACGTTTGCCTGGAACCAGGTCTTCCCCTACAAAAAAAAAAAAAAACAGCAAATGCAAAAATTAATAACTCAGATAGTTAGTCCTTTACAAACATCAGAGTGCGTAAAAACCTATGTCCGATCGTCCAGGACAGGTAGAAAATAATTTAGTTCCGACATGTAAACCTTTGGCATGACTTGTCCGTCGGACAAGTGAATTTTTAATTAGAAAAATACTTAAACAGTTGAAAATTGACCTCAAATTACTGTAAAATTACTTCTGTTAAGACGGAACTCATTCCCTGGCTCAAAATTTGAGTTGATATAATGGTGGAATCACAAAAAGTCCAAAAAGTACAGTCTTCATTGTTAGATTTTCTTTCAAAGCAACCGAGAAAAGAAAATATCTGGGATGCCTGCAAAAAATGAAGTGAATCAAGAGAAGATCATTAAATGCCCGAGTTTCAGGCAAAACTTTTGGACAAGAACCCTTGGTTTTCGCACAACCAAATTTAATATAGTACTTGTCCGAAGGAGAAGTGGATAAGAAAATTTTTCTCTTACTCTGTTACCTTTCCTTGACTACCCAGCTGCTTATAAGACTCAAAAAGGTCCAAGTAACATGTTTCAAAGGGAGCTTAAGCAAAGAAGGTTTTGAGCAACGGACGCCAACCGGAAGTAAGGCATTTTCCCTTTTGTTATGCCTTGACGCTACTAAATTTTTATCGCTAAGCGTCTACTCTTACAGCGACAAATTTCCCCCCAAAATGTGGGCAAAACCACCACACAAGAATACAAAAAGTCCACTTCCCGCATAAACTACATGCTAGAGATAAGGCAAACTATTGGCACGGTGATTTTATAATGAGTAATCGACGACTTGTTCTAGCTCACGCTTACCTTTAGGCAGAACTGGTCCGCCAGACCAGTTCAGTCGCCTCTGGTCCAGTCGTAAAGAGAATTTCATTAATGTTTAATCAGGGATGTCCGGCCAGATAAGTCGACTTATAAATAGTACGCATAAAGTGCTGGATTAAATGGAGGACTCTCCAGAAAGGCCCATTTCATTTTCAAATTGATTGGTCTAGCCAGCCAGTTTTGACATTTTGGTAAGCACCTTAAGTGATTGATGTGAGTAATTTAACAGCAATTAATCGCAAGCGATAATAGAATGAACAATTCACATACTCAGTGCAATCAGTGTACAGTGAAGAATTTCATGTTCCCTCTACTTCAAGGAAAAGTGTTTACTTGTAAGTGAATATCTCTAACATTTTGAATATTTAAATCTAGTGCCCTGCATTGGAATTTTTAATGTTTATGGCTTCAACAAACGGTAAAAAGCCGAACAATAGAGAAACAACAACAGCAATAAAAAATGGATAAACAATACTGTTTAAAAATCGTAAATGTACACAGGGACAAAATTCGGTCATCAATACATTGGCCAAAGCAACCCACTCCAATCAGCTAGTGGAGCGCTTAAAAGTTAAAAATTTACAAAAAATAATACACTTTGAGGCTTACGTCAAAACCCTGAACTTTCACATGACCTAAACCTAATGCTAGTGAGCAAAATCTATTGTTCTTGCTCATCAGTGTTAGGTTTGGCTAATATCATGTAGGGAGGTTTAAAATCACGACCTCCCACTCAGCAGACCGGCACTCTTCCAAATTATGGGCTCACCAGGTGCATAGTTATTAGAGGAGACTGGTTATGAAAAGCGGCAAACATCAACGATAAAAACAACAGTGCTGCAGTTTATGTTCAAAGCACCGTGAAAGTACACAATCCTTTGTTTTCTGTTGGCAAATTGTTACGGAATAAATTAATGCAACGTTTTTATTGGTCAATACAATCAAAATGATAGGAATTCTTTTGAACGTTGTGCACTTTCAGGTCCACAAAAACATATAACAAAGGAGTCTGACGGGTTTCATAACCATTCCACTCAATTAACTATACCAGGTGGCAGTACGAGAAAAATAAGGAGGACTTACCGTTCCAAGCAACTTGACCCCATCCTTAATCCTTCCACCTACTGCACCTGATCTCCAAAGGTGGTACATTGTAATAGGTTCTTTAGGATTAAGACGCCCACTGTCGATGAAGAACTGAAGCCGGTTCAAATTCAAAGGTGAAAAGAACTTTTGTTTCCTACAGGTCAAAAGACAAGTTAAAAGGGTGTAAGAAAGTTTCGAAGTATGCATGACACCTGTTTGTGAAATAGTTAGCTGATTTTGCCATCTTGTACTAAAAAATCAGAGAAATATTAGCCCATCAGAGCAGCTGGCAAAGGCTTGGTTGTGATTTTTGCTGGCTGCTGCCTGACAGTCCTGTTTGTTATTTTTTATGGTGCATTCCTTTGGAATGATCCAGATCAGGGTTTACGAACCATGATCACTCAGCTCAAAGGCACCAATAAACCCTACACTGTAGTCCAGATTGAATTTAGGGTTTCCTTTCATACTCCATGATTAAAGCAGTGGTTTAATTGTAGGTGAGCAAAAGTGACTTTCATTATGACTTGAACCCTAAACCCAAACCTAACACATTAAGTTGCATCCATACCTGCATCAGTCCCAGAAAAAAAATGCCTGATCCCAGGTTACTGCAGCAGAAAATTAAACCCAGCATGACCTAAGAGATCTTGATTCAATCCTGATCCAGGTTATCCCAAGGGAACACACCCTCAGACTTGATGAAAAAGGCTGCTAAAGACAGCATATTACACATTTCTGCCTTATCAATTTTGTAAAAATAGTATTGTCATAATCTGGAACAGTCACTTTTGAACACTTTTGGCATACCAAACATCAAGTTGATTTTAAAATGCAAAATATCACAATGTTTATCCCCACCATTTAAGTTTTATTTTTGATTGGCCTTTTTATTAAAATTGGACCTAATATTGGAGCTTGCTCTTGAGTGTTCCAGGCCTTTTGGGGAAGCTTTTAAGTAAATAAATAAGCAATGGGATTTCAACTTTACTTACGTATTTTTGAACCCATGCTTGGGTACTGCAAGATAGAATGGGGTGTTTCCACCTTCGAACCCAAGCCTGGGTTTGGTGTTCCTCTGACCTTGTCCTTTGTGGCCACGTCCACTTGTTTTGCCCCTTCCTGATCCAGGACCACGCCCTTTCCGTTGTTTCTATCAAACATAAGTATATCTGCTGCTAAGTTAAACATAATGACACCAACAATTCTACAATAATTTGTGGGATATAAATGGCGACTTAAAGATCCAATGACACAGACAGCAATGAGAATGTCAAAAAAACAGTAGGTTTTATAAGCAAAACAACAACTTTGCTTGTGCATCACACTTAACATTTCTTTGCCTGTTTTTGCATGACTACGACATGAAATTGCCAAATTTCACGTTTTATGGAGGACTTAAACTAGCAAAGATGAAGTTTTATTTCTCTTTCTGAACTTGGATATGGTCCCTAGGCAGGGCTCAGAATAACAGCCGGTCAAAGGACAATGTCCGGTCACAATGGTGTCTTGACCGGCCAAAAGTTCCACTCGTCGATCATGTTGACCGGTCACACAGACTCCTATTCTTGAACAAACAGCCAAAAACTCACATGTAAATCTTAGATTTTGTCTCTTTGTAAAAATTCAATCATGTTCATTAATAGAAAATTACACAAGGATTAGTTCACTTTTTTCACATTGTTTCCCGGGTTGTTTGGACCAGTCTGAAAACGAGACTTGACTGAGCAAAAATTTCGTTGGTCAGTCATCGTGCCAGCCACTGTCCAAAAATTATTTTAAGCAGTGCTAGGAATTCTACTCCAGGAGGGTTCACCTAAAATTGACAAAGTAAGTGGGTAGGAATAATTATTGAAATACATACCGAAAGAATGCAAATTCACTTTTTAAGCAACGTTCTCATTGGCGTTGCGCCATTGGATCTTAAAGTCCCTAATAACTTTATCTCTGCAACTCATTTGAGGGTCAAAATCTTGTGAACGTCTGTGCCCTTTTTGTCTAGCTTGGTACCAGACTCTGATGTGAGGAAAAAATGGCAAAAAATGGAGTGAAATGGCATTAAAAAATGGTGAGTGAAGCGAGCCGAGTGCGTGGAGCCTGGTACCAGGCAACTATTCGTCCCACATGCTGGAACAAAAAGGAATGCTTGGGAGTGTTTGGAGTGTAATTTTCCACAGTCAGTTATAGAGACCTTTAGTAAATGTAGTTCTTACATGTACCTTTGATCCTGTGGATTAAAATAATCACATGGCATGTACATTCAAAAAAGAAACCTCCTTGTAAGTGCTCTGTGCTCTGATATGATGCTACAGTCAAACCTCCCTAATATATGGACACCTCAGGGAAAGAGCCAGGTGTCCACATTACAGGGGTGTCTATTGCAGTCCAATGTCCTGAACACAGACACCAAAGGGACAGAGCCAAATAGCCACATTACAGACAGAGGTGCCTGTATTACAGTCAAACCACCTTAATACAGACACTAAGGGGACAGAATCAAGTGTCCACATTACAAAGGTGTTTGTATTGCAGTCAAACCTCCATAATACAGACACCAAAGGGACAGAACCAAGTGACCACATTACAGAGGTGTCTGTATTAAAGTACGTGGCTCTATTTCACTTGAATTGATGATAAAAGAATATCACAACTTTTATTAAATAAATGTTAAATTAAATTTTAATATGGGATAGAAGCAATGAAGTTGAAGTTGAGGTTTAATATTGAACAACAACATCTTATTAATCCAACATATTGACTTAGCCAGAGCTAAAAGCAAAACTCTCGTTAATAATTTTATAATTTAAATCAAACAAAATAAACTTGCAATCCACAAATCAGTTAACTTTATAGCACATTCATGTGACTTTTGAGGGAAAGGCTAACTGATTTCAGAGAAAAATAATTTGCTAACAGTCCAAGAGTGAAACAAATCTTAAATTGAGTTAATAGCCCTATATGTACACCCCCAAAATAGCAATCACCTTTGATCACAGTCAAGAGCATAATGGCTCTTAATCATTGTAGATTAGGCCTGGAAAACAAATTCTTCCCAAACAAAATGACACAGTCGTCCACCTACTCCACCTTTATTTTATTATAAGGTTAATTGGACAGCACCAAAATTTAATTTTATGCTATAAGGACTAGTTAGAAGACACGATAGTCCTTGGTGGCAGCCAATTTACATGTTGTAATTCGTAATTCGTGTGCGTATGTCAAGATATGAAGCACTCTAACAAGTTTGGAGAACACTCAAAGAGGTTAAGGTTGCTAGAGGCAACTCTTACATCTCTTTTGTGCAACAAGGTATATTCTTTGCATTGACTAGACTGGATCAGAATTGTTTTACCAATTTCATCCCCAGGGCTTCCTAAAAATGTTGGATGATCGGGCAGGTAGTGTGCATGACATCTGTTCAAGGTTGCTGTGCCAGTCGATAGCAACTGATGAACTGTTTTTGTGTTGTCATCACCTGATCATCGATTGATCAATACCAATCGATACCAATTAACTGATTTTATCGACTGATATCGATTGATCGATTGGTTTCCGATCATCGATTTGCATCGATTGGATACGCCGGGTTATTATTATTTGGTAGTATGGCACGATCACTTAGCTTCTGTTTGCAAAATACATAAATCGTAGAGCTCTCTTTGGAAGAAATAAGACCTTTTTTAAGAGTATCTTCTATGTCTGACTCCACACTATCGTTCATAGGATAAAACAGGCAATCTAAGTGCCTATGAATATTATAGCGCTTCAATTTAGCGGTACGCGTATTCAATTCTGGCCTACCATTTCGAATATTAAACAAAAAAGAATAAGATAAGCACCTACCGTAATAAAAGCATCCGGTAAATCCCTGATATTGTTCAAAGCAACTCGAGGAAGCTGCTTCAAAGCGGCGAGATTGTTCTTGATGTGGCAGGACGCCATGTTGGATTTTTGTAAGTAGACACTAGTACCCAGGTTTCGCTCTTTCTCCCTTTTCTTCCTTCCTAGAACTCAGGAACTCAGGCTTTCCCATATGAAAGGGATTAGAATGCCTGGTCATAAAATTACCCTACAGCAGTGGTTCAAGCTTTATTTGACCCCTGAAAGAAACCATACTGAAACGGACAACCAAATAAGTGACAACAATAACAGTATGATGGCCTTTTTTATTGTTTCATAAATGTTATCTCTTTACACTATCCTAAGCGCTACCTGTATTGGTATAGTCTGCGGGGAACAGACGCTTTTTTCGGCTCTTACCCGCAGGCTGGTATTGATAAAGTAAGACCAAAATCTTCAGTTTACATTCCCAAATGAAATGGCGTTCATTTCCGTTTTTTTTTTTCAACGGAGCCACCCTCCGAAGACTCAACTTTCTTATAAAATCGTATCTTTTAAGTTTCAGTGAACATGGTATTCAAAGTATAAAAACACCGAAAGTCACCTCCATTATGATGTAACTTTAACCTCAACAATTTCGTTTTTGTAGGTAATGTCCAAGTGGTGGAGACCGTCCCCCACCAAACCTTATTTAAATTTTTGGACGAGCGCCCTCCCCTCCCCCTTATCTCCAGGTGTGGATCCGGCACTGCGTCCTGCCATTCAAGGTCATTCAGTAACGACTTACATCCGACAACGGTGACAAACAAAAACGTGGCAAAAAATAGACTTCACATCCTATAAACCTTTTTCGCTATAACAACAGGTCGCCAGTTACTAGTTGAAAAAAGGAAACCACCTCCGAGTTGAGACTTCAGAATTTAGTAGAGAGGTTAGCTTCACGTTTACGGCAAACGGGAATTTGTACCACGTGATCAAGTTTCTTCTTTACTTGTCGTTTACTGTTCATTATTTCTACACATAAATTAGAAGTTTAAAGCATTTTTTTTTATCCATAGGAATTGTTTTGAACCTTTTTTATCTGCTCATTTCTTATTTTGAGAAATTCTCAGGTTGAATTTGCCATTTATCGCAAACGTGAAGCTTAAACCGACTCTTTATTGCCTCGCTGCGGTACCCGTCCTCAAGTAAGCTTAAAATCTGGTCATTTCACGTCGAAGTCAGTGCTGGCCGGGAAGTCACGTTGCAATTATCTACATAGCCAATATAACTTAAAAGAAAGCAGCACGGTGACGGTATTCTCCCACGCAATCTTCGAAGGAGGAGCGAAGGAGGCTGTAGGCGAATCTTTGCTTACAGTTCTTACATTGATCAAGCTATTAAGACAAAATCTCTGAATATTGGTAGAGGGTCTGAATCTTATTAGTTATGTCTGAAAATTTGAGTCCAAAATAATGAACAGTTTTGGAGAAATTCCCTGTCCAAAGAAATTTTAATTACGTTATATTTTATTTTATTTTTATTTTATTAGCTTCGGCGAGGAAGAAAAAAAACATATAACGTAATTAAACTAACTAAAGGGTAGGCAGGAGCACTGCAACAGCTGAGGCCAATTAGGGCGGGCCCGTGTAGAATACTGAAGAGTGTAAAATGTTAAGTGTGACAAAATACAAGAAAGTAGACTAACTACATACAACAAACGATCGGACGAGATAGCGGGGCTCCTACGTCAGCAAAGATTTACTTGTAAGGAAGAAGAGACAGTTTCACGGAACATCATCAGCAAGCACTGCGTCCCTTTTAATTTAAGCTTCTTTATTGCCGTCTTCCTTTCGTAGTTTAAGAATAGGTAATTTTCGAGTTCCAAAAAATATCACTTTCAAAACAAGACAACGTGTAAAACCTTTCTTCTGATCTGAAAATGAGAGAATGAGAAAATCATTTTCACACCTGAAATGGTTCGCACTTAACCTCGATTTGAAACAGAGGCTTGGGTACCTCGGAAATTGCCTGATACCGAGGGCGTTTCTTCGTGCTGTGGAAACCATTGCTGGTAAGCTATTGTGTTATAATGGTGGTACTATTTCTTGTGGTTCTTTTCATTATCATGTTTTACGTCACCTGGTGATACACCACCCGGCCGCAAACGCTCCAAGCAATCACTCAAATTATCTTTAAATTCAGCATGAGTAAATGCCTAATTTTATTTTCTTGCCTTTAGCATATAATGATTACTAAAAACAATAAAAGATTCCAGCGGGCAAATGCGACCGCTGTAGGCGTATGTTACAAATAAATCCACCCCAATTATATTACACTACTTAAATACCTTGTACACTAATTGAGGTAGACCCCCGTATTTAGTAATTTCCCGAAAAATTAATAATGCATTACTCTAATTGACTTCTTTAAAAGAAAAAGATATGGTAATCAGGAGTCTTTTACTTCGAATTGTCATTTGGATATATCAGCAGACTCCGAGTTTGATAAGTTCAAGATGCAATTTTTTCCAAATTTCCTTCAGAAATGTTGTTTATTCTTCTATATAAGCTATCGAAGTGAAACTAAAGAAATTCCTTTGAGCACCACTGTCACCACATCGTCAGATGACGCACTTGTTAGCTATGATAACTTTGTACAGCACAAGTTTCGCTATCTTGTTGTAGAGAATAAGACGGAAACTAAGGCTGTAACTTCCGATGACTGCATTTGGGAATGCTTAACATTCAAGACATGTTTATCTCTGAATGTGGGCTCTGTACCTGATGATGGCTCAGTTTGGTGCGAGTTGTTATTTACGGACATGTTTACCAGCTCTCGTTCCTTACACGAAAATGCCTCATCGCACCATTTGTCGAGATGGGTGAGTATTTTCAAAAGACAATACTCCAGTACAGACGTGTTTAGCTTCTTACAGCCCGTGCACCGTATCCTGCATATAAATTTGCTTTGACTCTTATGTTGTTGTGTTCGAACTAGATTACTGGCTGTACCTTACTGCGATTACAGAAAAACCCATGTCGCAGTCGCTCTTTTTTCTAGAAGTTCGAAGAATTCGATGCTCTGGCTCCCTAGCAAAAAACGCTTTTGCGCCATTATTGCGTAACTGAAACAAATGTAAGTAAGTAGTGAACACTTTTTATCAGCCCTGCGCCTTCTTCAACTTCAGGCCTCAGCCTGAATATTCTTTTCTTCATTTTGGATTCTGTTATGCTTTTCGATAGATTTGAAACGCGATAGGGGGGTTACAAGTGCTATTTTTCTAGATAACTTAAATGGTATCAAAATCAAGCAACTAACAAAATTTTAAGAAAAACCCTCTAGAAACTCCCACCTTAGCTGAATACAATCGAAGCTCTTCCTAACGGACAATCATTTAGGCGGACCGAGTACTACTCGCCACACGGTAACCTTGACACCCGGGGGGGGGGGGTACTCCCTTATAAGGGCTTAATGGGGACGTGCGGCCAGTCAGGGTATGTTTTTCGGGGTTTTCGTCTTAAACAGGGTATCGAATTTATCGATTTATCAATTTTTGTCTTAAACAGGATAAATGTCTTAAACAGGGTATCAAAAATCGGAATTCTGTCTTAAACAGGGGTAGGAAAATCAGTGATATTTGTCTTAAAATAAGGGTATGAGGGGCGATATTTGTCTTTAACAGGGGCCTTGAAAAAACTCAATTCAAGAACCTCTTCGCTTACAATAATCATTTCCATTAGCGGGGTATCCAGCTGTGAACACTGTTTCTGCTTCAATCGCGAGGGATTTATCGAAGTAAATGTCCCCACCAACTGCCCCTCCACCAACTGCTAAACTAAAGTTTGATGCTAATTTTGTCAATAATACTTTCAACTGGAAAAAGATCTATAGCTTGCCATATCGAACCTTAGATACAAAGACTTAATTTCAGTATAAATTATTTCAGATGCCTTACAAATACCTTCTTATGCAAAATTGGTATTATACCATCTCCAGCATGTCCTTGTGTGGTGAATCGGACGACCCTCGAACATCTTTTCCTGTTTGTCATTATACTAAGAATTTCTGGTGTGAGGTTATAAAATGGAAGTTGATCATAAGGTCAAGATTGAAAATCTTTCAACAAAGATATACTGTTTGGTATTATTGGATGTGAGGATGAGATATTTCAATCATATTTTATTCAAAACAATATCTATATTCCCAGAACAAATATCCTCCCTCCATCAGAGTTCTTCATTCCAAAATTCCGTCTTTTACTAGAGACAATGATCGCTAAGTTGACACCCACAATATGAAATGGGGCAAATATAAAACTGATTAGACTTTTCAATACTTCACCATTTTAATCTTTAAATTTATTTATTTATTTATTTTTTTTTTTTTTTTTTTTCATGTAAATAGAAAAGAAGGTACTGGGTTTTTGTTTCACGCCAAGTTTGTTATTATAATGTTTATTTTTTTCCGTTTTTGTATGGTTTTTCAAAGTCAGAATGTAAAAAAAAATGTAAAACATTTTAAAACAAAAAATTTCATTAAAATTTTAATTCCCCGGCTTTCCACTGAGTTGACACTGAAGAAAATATGAGACTCAATACTGACCATTTAGAAACATTTACCTGACGTTTCCCCTCTCACGCCAAGTTTGTTATTATAATCTATTTTTTATGGTTTTAAAAGTCACCAACTCTTATTTTCAGACTCCTTGCTTGACGGAGTCTTGTCAGAACGGAGCTTCCTGTATTGTGCGCTACGACGATGACTCTTCCAGCTGTCTCTGCAAGCCACAATTTACTGGGCAACAATGCGAAAGTATGTAACCACTAACGCACTCTGTCTGAGTTCAAGTACATTAGAGTTAGGATAGTTCTTCAAACAATTTTTCCAAAAGATCGCTTTTTTGTTGACGGACTCGATGCTTGAAAGCCTTATCTTTCAAAATTAGCGCGGAAGGTGGCAGGAGACTTAAAACTTTCATCTTTTTATCGCATATTAATTAGTATTTATGTTTTGTCGTGTATTTCCCTGTATTCCCCTGGCTCCCACGGGTTGGCAGTTGCATGAGTACACTGTAATTTTCAGGGAGTTATAATAACTCCTCTAGTGGGGCTAATTTAACTCCTTACAGTGGAGTTATTT